TCCTCCTCCTCCTCCTCCTCCTCTTCTTCTTCTTCTTCTCCTTCTCCTTCTCCTTCTCCTTCTCCTCCTCCTTCTCCTTCTCCTTCTCCTTCTCCTCTGTGAAAGTCCTTTCTCTGCCAGAGACCCTGGAGAGTCGCTGCCCATCTGAGTAGAGAGTACTGCGCTTGATGGGGCAGGGGTCTGATTCAGAAAAAGGCGGCTCCATGTGTTCATGTGTGTGTGTGTGGTGCTCTAGATGCTGTAGATGTGCCAGGGAAAGGGGGGAATCAGGCAGAGATTTTCTGTGTACCCACTGGCTGCCACAAGCTTGGTACAGCAGCAGCCACCAAAGGCAGTTTGGCTGGCAGGGAAGAGAAGGGACAAGAACTTGTCTTGGGCCTGGATGTCCTTCCTCCTAATCTAGGAAGAGAAGAAGCTGAAGGCTTTAATGCTTGTCTGTGTACTGAATTTGAATGTTACAAGGTGCCGAATCTCATATTCCTGAGGACAGGAAGTGTGAGCTTGGTTGGCATCTCTGGTTGTTTCCGTACAGCCATTTATTCATCCAGCCTCTGCCCCTCTTCCATCGGAGTGTGCGTTCCCCGTGTCACAGCCAGGAACTTTCTAGATAGATCTAGCAGTTACCATGCTCTTAGGATTAGCTGGCCACAGAAATGGATGTGTCATTCGTAAAAGTCTGATTAAACTGGTTTTTTTTTGGGGGGGGGGGTTAAAAAAAGGGAGGCTGCCAGATGGATGTCAGTAGATTATTTAAAGATATATGAGATGTCCAATTAATGACTGACTCATTCGGTGTTTTAATGGAAGTCTTGCAAGGGAGATTTACAGGTAAACAGCACAATAAATTGTGTTCTGTGGCCACTCTGCTTCGAGCATGACAAGAAAAGCCATTAGGAGGCCTGAGAAATAAAGCACGCAGGGGGCGGGGGAGACTGCACAGAGGGTGTGGTAGGACTGCTCGTTTGAATCAGACCATCAGACTGTATGAAAATGACATTTTGGTGACTTAGATGTTGTAATTTTGGGTGTGTGTTTTATATATATATCGAGCTGCGGTGGCTCAAGTGGTTAAGACGCTGAACTGCAGGCTGTGGAAGGTTAGTAGTTCGCTCAGGGCAGTGACACAGCTTCGCACGCTTGTGTTTTGAGGTATTCTTTTTGTATTCTCAAGGGTCTTTTAAAAAATCACCGTTTCTGGGATGGGGGGGAAAGGAAACAGGGTGGGAAATTGAGAAAACCCCTTATAAAACCATTTCTCTTTTATGATGATATGTGGTTTTTTTTACAACAGTATTTTAATATATCTTTTTAGCTGCCCTTTAGTCTTTCCAGGTGTCTTCTGATAACTATGTAAGACAATCTGTGGTATATCTGGCAATGACAATTCCCAGAGGAATTCCCGAATACTCTCACCTGCATTAGCCATCTTTGGCAGCCTGTGAAAAAAACCTGGTCTGTCGAAATTGGTTTTGAAATTCACGCAACAAATCATGAAGCTGCCTGACGTATGAAAGAGTCAAGAAGCTTTGTTCGATCCATCATTTCCCCGAATGACTGTTCAGAAGTGCATCTAATTAGAGAGGGAGAATTGAAATGGTGCTATTTCAGGTATACAGTCATTGTTTCAATGGCAGGGTATGGGTTTTGATGTGGCTTCCCCCCCCCCCCCTTCGCCATCCAGTCCAACACTCTGTGTCACACAGTGGCCAGAAATACCAGGTGCCATCAGGAGGTCCAGCAGTGGGGCCGGACATAAGAAGAGGAAGAGGAAGAAGAAGAGGAAGAAGAAGAAGAGGAAGAAGAGGAAGAAGAAGAGGAAGAAGGAAGAAGAGATTGGATTTATACCCCGCCCTTCACTTGGAGTCTCAGAGCGGCTTACAAACTCCTTTCCCTTCCCCTCCCCACAACAGACACCCTGTGAGGTGGGTGGGGCTGAGAGAACTCTGACACAAACTGCTCTTTTTCAAGGACAGCTGTGCCAGAGCTTGTGACTGACCCAAGGTCACATCAGCAGGTGCAAGTGGAGGAGTGGGGAATCAAACCCGGTTCTCCCAGATTAGAGTCCGCACACTTAACCACTACACCATTAGAAGCCCTCCCACTGTTGACCCCCCCAAGGACCAAGATGACAGAGTATCATTTGCCC